ACGGGAGCTATCCACTGTTATTTTGATTTTATTTAACCAGTATTATATGATAATTGGCAATTATCCCATTTGTTTATGAAATTAAAATTTCATTAACCAAAGGGGTTAGTATGCAATACTCTGTAATAAACTACTTGAATGTCACTGAAAAGTTTGAGAAAAATAAATAGTTTCCTAGAAAAATATTTAATAATATTAAGTCTATTTATCAATTTAGTATAATTGCATAAGGAGTGTTTTCAATAACACTCTTCAGATATTATATGTTAACTGTTTTAAGACTGAAATATTCAGGACCACTTAATTTCAATCTGAAATTAAGCACCCTGAGGTACCAGAAAAACCTGCAGTCTGGTTTGGCCCAGCGACCCAACGTGACCAGTCATACACCAATCACACTCATAAAACCAACAGTGGTGTTGCTTGAGGTCTGGCAATATTGTTAACACTCTGTTTTCATTTAATGGAAACCTGTCGATACCAGTTATGCATACTCTTGTCTATATGTCACAGGGACGCATTTAGGCAGAATCAGGAATTTAAACAAAAACACATCAGCGATAAGTATGAGAAGATAAACTCTGGAAAACCTCTGCAATGCAAAAATCGATTTGAACTAGTAAACACTAAGTATTTGGCAAGATGGTAATGCATAGAATATGAATAAGTTTGTTGTACCAAATAAGCCAAATATTGATTGTGACAGATTTGCCATAACTCATACTCAAGTGACAGATATCGATTTTAATGATTTTTACATGAAAATAAGTGAAAATTTGGCTAATGAAATAAACACCATCAATAATGATTCTCATAATTTTCTTGGAGACAAGGCATCTAACTTGTTTTTTTCACACCCTGCATCCTATGTGTTATATCATTAACATAAATTTGTTTCTATTTCAAGACAACTTTTTACAAGGAATATCATGTTTTACGCTGTTAAATAATATCAAAATATAATTATAATATCAGAAAATTCTCTCTTAGTTGCCAATTGCATTCCTTTCCTTAGTATAGTGCCTGTGCAATGCCCACTCACACTGCCCACTGAAATGGGCAGTTATTGAGTTTTTTCCCTGAAAATAATTACTCTTATCCAAGTAAATTTGAGATATTTCTCGTGCTGTAGCCGCGCCCACCTATTCTGAAACGCTCGACTATTTCCGGATTTTCGACCAAATTCCAAAATATGAGAGGAAGCTATACCCCTGAGCCGTACTTTATAACACTGTGTCATTCAACATAATTTTAAGCGATATACATTTTTCGGTCGAAGTTTTTTTTTTTTTGCTATTTTATTTTTTGGGGGGAAGAGAGTATTTAGAAGATGTTTTCATAACAATCATTTATGATGGTTAAATGTTGTGTTGTGGCAGTTGCAGTAATAGGTATAGTCATAGTGTAATTCACACGTTTCCAATTGATCCGAAAGTGCGACGCAGCCCTTACATACATACTGCTTACTGTTTTCATTTTACCAGACTAAAGGTTACTGAATTGTTCGGTGATTGGTGTTGAATGTCGAATTCACACCTCTGTTACCTTTACATGCAGCTTGATCTGCGTAATAAGTTATGGAGTAAGAATCCGGGTTTGGGCTGTCAATGTGTTTCCACCAAGTAAATTTTTTATATGATGTCATAATTATGACAATCACGCTAACTCGAATCCACTCTGAAATTGTATGTATTCATGTCGCTCTCAATTATTTTTTTTATCCAATTAAACGCTGCCATTCACGCACTTGTCCTTATCGTGACCCGACGCATTCACTCATTTCAACTGAATGTCAATTTATTTCCACATGGTTGTCATTTGTTTAGTAACTGTGATTGGTAGTTTTTTTGTTATGGCAGCCACCATACTGGTAGAAAGTTGTAAATGTATGAAAATAGGTATCAAGGAAATCACACATGTTGATAAGGCTAAATAAAGAACCAGTTTGTCACATAACATGAGCACTTATACCGATAAAGAACAAAGAAAACAATATATTACCTTATCTTGTGATATAGTTTTCCAGATTGCATCACTTATAGTTTTAGCATAATCATGTAGATTTAAATGTTCTAACATCAAGGTACTAGCCAACAACATGGCAGTAGGATTGGCAATATTCTTACCAGCTATACTAGCACCAGTATTTCTTGTGCCCTGTTGATCAAAATGATTTGGAGTAGCCTCTGTTATTATATACATAGTAACTATCTTAAAACAAGCAGCCTCTCGGCTGAAATAGCTCCGCTGTTTGCAATGCACATTTCAATTATAGAACAGAAGATATCATTAGAAAATGAACAATATGAATAGTATCAATGCAATGGGACTTGCTGTTTTCAACAAAAATTCAAAAATATCATTTTTCACCATAAATGATTGTGGTTTTTAACAAGAAGAAAATATCACTTTTTACCAAAAATGACCAAAATATTCACCAAAATTACTGTAGATAATTAAAGATATTATTACAAAATGAACAAATCTGAGAAAGGTCCACATGTAGTACCTATATATGTAATAATATCAAAGCAATTGGACTTGTCTTTTTTAACAAGTCGAAAATATCACTTTTTACCAAAAATGACAAAAATATTCACTAAAATTATGATGAA